CTCTGATTTCCTTATTGAGTGGGGATGATGAGAAGGACTATTCATGATACACATACCGTACATTACATTTAAAATTATATGAAATTGAATTTTTGTTTCTGTTTTCATTTACTTGAAAACATTTAAAACAACAACGATAGGGATTTTTCTTTGTTCCTGTCCACCAGTGAAGGGCAACTTGTTTCCGTACCTCTCAACTTGTTTCTGATAACATTTTTCATTTGCAATTCCAAAAACTTCCAAATCCATCTTCAACTTAGCCACACCTGTTAATTGCTTAATATATCCATACACTTTCCTTCTTCTTTTCCCTTTTTCAGTCAATTCTTTTGCTCTACTTTTAAAAAATTTCTTCATTTACATATATACAATGTTCATTCTCAGAATACTTGGTCTTGTGTTTAGGAGGATTTCGATCCAAGTGGTACATTTAATTTCCTTTTTATATTGTTTCTCATTAGGTACAAGTCCTACTCTTAAAATGCATATAAATACTAAATAAGATTGAACGTTTCCACAAAATGTTCCGAGTTTTTGGTTTGTATTAGATTAGTGAAAATTTATCCCTTATTAAGAGATCGTACATCAAAAAACATATGTTCAAGATTAATAATATAAGAGTAAAATTACATTACACAAAGAAACGTAATATTTATGTAGTTTGACATATCCCACCTCTATCTACAGATGAGAAACCAATATAATTTTATGAACACGAAATACAAGAGTACATAATACCATAAACCTAATACATATATCTAACCATGCTCAACCCAGTACCTAGAACAAAAATAATCACAATTTCTAAAACACTCTACACATCGTGTTTAATAACTTAATATCAAATACTTTGTGTTTTCACATTCTTTTATAGTCTTGAATTGGTTATCACCCCTATATTTTACAAGTAGTATATGAGATATTTATTTCTAATAGAATTAATATTTTAATTCCTAATAGAATCTCATAATTATATTCTTATTTACAATTATATTCTTTATTAAATAGTTTTCCTAAAAACATACAATTTTATATGGGAACAAATAGGAAAACGACCCACAATATCCCAACATTACCTATCAGTCACATAATTATATTTATTTATTCAAATAATCAAAAGTATAGATTAGGATAAAATCTTTTTCCATTTTAATAATGTTAAGTGAACTATCATGATTTTAAAACCCTCGAAAGTTGGTCTTTAAAAGTGCAATTTTTTTCCTGAGAATCCATCTCTGATTTTCACTTTGTCGGGTTAAATTACAACTAAGAAAACAGTTTAGATATTTAACATTGTTTATCGATAATCAAATCAACCATCTCTTAACAATAATCAACTGAATTGAATATATAATATTATAAAGTTACACATCTGTGTCCCCTTATAATTTTAGGGTTCTTAATAAGAATGATTAAAGAAATGCCTTTAAGGTCGCAAGTTGTGTATCAACTAACACACTACTTTCTTCAATTTTGGGGAGCTTTTAGGTCGCATGCATGTCTTTTTTCAACACCTTTTTCGGGACTCTTTTTCTCAAGCAGTAATCAAAATTAACCATCTATCCTATCAGTAACTCTAATTTATTACGTGATTTATGGCCAAAACAAAAGATGATTTAATCTAATTTTTAACTTTGACCCTAGCAATCGCTAATGGCATAGCAGGTTTTGAAATTAATGAACACATCACCATACATAAATAAAAAAGGGCTGATGCAAAGTCTCAGTCAAATTTCCCTCCCTTAGAAAATAATGCATGCAGTAAATGGTTGTGCAGTAATGTTTAGTTATGATTGTTTAAATTCAAGATTTATTGCATTGTCTTACCCTCATACGGAAAAAGTAGTATATTGAAAATCATGTTACCTACTCTCTCCTTTCATAGTCTGTCAGTAACCCACCATTGCTTTTCTCATATCTCTCCTGTAATGTCATCTTCGATCTCTCTGCATTTATAAATATATATATATATGTACATAATAAATATTCATAAATCTCATACAATACAAAGCAAATTAATCGACTCATGCACAGTGGTAATTACTAGAACACAAAACAAAGCAAAGAAACAATTAATTCGTGGCCTGAGCTAAAATATGTAGAGATAGAAATAGGGAGTACTGTTGTTCATTAATTAACCTCTAAAATCTCTCTATTTTCCTTCAAAAGATCATTTAATTTGCGTATCTTCTTCACACTGTCCTCTTGAGTTTCTTTATGAACATTGTTTTTTCTAAAGCAAATTATAAGTAAGTAGGTGCAGACATAAATGTTAAACTGTACGTTGCACTTGCACCATGCAAGCAACCATGATATTCGAATATGCATCTAATTAATTCATGAGTTTAATTAATTATATATTTTAAATCAGTCTGAATTGATTCTAGATTTTTAGTTGCTCAAGGCATTCACCAGACTATATATATATATGGTTGTTTATAATATATGCCTTATCTTGCATGGCATTCACAGGAACTATAGACATAAATTGAACAACCCACCTAATAAAAACGATAAAATTGTAGAGGCTCATGATCGAACAGCAAANCTTATTTTATTTTTTGATAAATGAATAATTTTTCTTATATTATAATTTTATTGTATCGAAATTGAATTAATATTTGAAATGTTAACAAACAAAAAAATTGAATTGAATTATTGATATTTGAAAAGTTAATTAAAAACAATTATATTTATAATTATTTATTTGAAAAGTTAAATAAATAAAAAAAAAAAAAGGAAAATCGGGCTAACCCGGCCCAGCCCGCCACCTAACCCGGCGAGTTAGGGCTGGCGGGCCGGGTTGGGCCAGCCATTTTGAAGAAAATGGCAGGCAAAACCCGGCCTGCCTTTGCTGGCGGGCGGGTTAGGCCCGACCCGCCAAACAAAGTAACCCGCCGCGGGCCGGGCGGGTCACTTTTCCACCTCTAACAAAGATATGTGATATTTACGTAGTTCGGCATATCTCATCTCTATCCACAGATGAGAAACCAATATAATTTCATGAACACGAGATACAATAGTACATAATACCATAAACCTGATACATATATCTAACCATGCTCAACCCAATACCTAGAACAAAAAAAAAAAAATCTCAATTTCTAAAACACTCTACCTATGGTGTTTAATAACCTAACATCAAATACTTTATGTTTTCACATTCTCTCATAATCTTGAATTGATTATCACCCCTATATTTTATAGGTAATATATGAGATATTCTATTTTTAATAAAATTAATATTTCAGTTCCTAATAGAATTTCATAATTCTATTCTTATTTACAATTGTATTCTTTATTAAATAGTTTTCCTAAAGATATACAATTTTACAAGGAAATAAATAGGAAAACGACCTACAGTATCCCAACATTACCTATCAATCACATACTTATATGTATTTATTCAAATAATCAAAAGTTTAGATTAGGATAAAATCTTGTTCCATTTTCATAATGTTAGGTGAACTGTTATGATTTTAAAACCCTCGAAAGTTGGTCTTTAAAAGTGAAATTTTTTTCCTGAGAATCCATCTCTGATTTTCACTTTGTCGGGTTAAATTACAACTAAGAAAACAGTTTAGATATTTAACATTGTTTATAGATAATCAAATCAACCGTTTCTTAACAATAATCAACTGAGTTGAATATATAATATTATAAAGTTACACATCTGTGTCCCCTAATAATTTTAGGGTTCTTAATAAGAATGATTAAAGAAATGCCTTTAAGGTCGCAAGTTGTGTATCAACTAACACACCACTTTCTTCAATTTTGGGGAGCTTTTAGGTCGCATGCATGTCTAATTCAACACCTTTTTCGGGACTCTTTTTCTCAAGCAGTAATCAAAATTAACCATCTATCCTATCAGTAACTCTAATTTATTACGTGATTTATGGCCAAAACAAAAGATTATTTAATCTAATTTTTAACTTTGACCCTAGCAATCGCTAATGGCATAGCAGGTTTTGAAATTAATGAACACATCACCATACGTAAATAAAAAAGGGTTGATGCAAAGTCTCAGTCAAATTTCCCTCCCTTAGAAAATAATGCATGCAGGAAATGGTTGTGCAGTAATGTTTAGTTATGATTGTTTAAATTCAAGATTTATTGCATTGTCTTACCCTCATACGGAAAAAGTAGTATATTGAAAATCATGTTACCTACTCTCTCCTTTCATAGTCTGTCAGTAACCCACCATTGCTTTTCTCATATCTCTCCTGTAATGTCATCTTCGATCTCTCTGCATTTATAAATATATATATATATGTACATAATAAATATTCATAAATCTCATACAATACAAAGCAAATTAATCGACTCATGCACAGTGGTAATTACTAGAACACAAAACAAAGCAAAGAAACAATTAATTCGTGGCCTGAGCTAAAATATGTAGAGATAGAGATAGGTAGTACTGTTGCTCATTAATTAACCTCTAAAATCTCTCTATTTTCCTTCAAAAGATCATTTAATTTGCGTATCTTCTTCATACTGTCCTCTTGAGTTTCTTTATGAACATTGTTTTTTCTAAAGCAAATTATAAGTAAGTAGGTGCAGACATAAATGTTAAACTGTACGTTGCACTTGCACCATGCAAGCAACCATGATATTCGAATATGCATCTAATTAATTCATGAGTTTAATTAATTATATATTTTAAATCAGTCTGAATTGATTCTAGATTTTTAGTTGCTCAAGGCATTCACCAGACTATATATATATATATGGGTGTTTATAATATATGCCTTATCTTGCATGGCATTCACAGGAACTATAGACATAAATTGAACAACCCACCTAATAAAAACGATAAAATTGTAGAGGCTCATGATCAAACAGCAAATGTTGGAGAAATGTGGTAGAACGTTTAACTAATTTAATAAATCTGTGTAACAGAAATACCTAATATTATTCCTTCAAATTAATCACTTAATAAATCAATCATGAATAGAACCTTTTTTCGCTGACATTATGGCTCTTGATCCCAACTTACCGACAAAATCTCAGAATATTTATAACTAACACCTTTATAATAAAATCTTAATTTCATGTATATATATATAAGTGGCTTTGCTAGTGCAAGCTCCTTTTATTATACAACTTAATTACATTACCTATAAGCAAAGGACAATACATTATAATCTAAAGTAGAAGTAGTAGTAGTAGTAATAGTAGTAGTAGTAGTAGTAGTCCCTTGTTTGATCTAGTGACCAAAACTTAAAACTTAGTAGTAAGCAGCTTCAAGTACAAATTAAACTAGAGAAAACGATATTAATTATATATAAATTATATAATTAATTAAAACATTACATAATTAAACTCCTAATTATTGCAGCCTCAGCACTATCAGCATCAATGGTTGACAAAAGCTGAGATAGTCGCTCACTTAGATCATCAACTTCTCTGTGCAAACTTCTAATGTAGTTGCAGGTTTCCTGTAGAACCTTGGAGGCCGAAACCTGCACAAAAAAATTAATTAAACATGTCAAATTAAATTAAGCCCCTTGTGTGTTTAATGTAAACATGCACGTGAAATCATGTAAACACATACCATAAAATAAGGCTAAAGCTATGCGAAAACTTTTGACTTGAATGTTTTAGCTATAACATTTAAGGCACACAACGTGAGTTAACGTTTTTTTGGCTCTTCCATTCCAGGGTCCAACTACCATACTATTCAAGTCAATGAAGGAACTTGAGCAGAACTTACACTTATACAAACAGGTACCTTCCTTCCTCTATAATTTTTCTTTGGTCAAAATTTTCAAACATTTCTACAGTGTTTTCATATATATTATAACTGAAATATACTATTATAATACATGTGATACATGCAACCATGCTAGCATGTTACATTTTTATTATTATTATTATTTATTATTATAGTTTTCTCAGTAGTCTCCATCTTCTTCTTCTTCTTGTTTGTATTCATATATACGTATTTATATGTACAATAATTTATACAAGTTTATTACATGTATATATAGTGAAAGAAAGCTAGGCAGTGTACCTTTTCAGGGCGCCTATCACGAATCTCAGGAAGAAGTTGGCGTAATTTCGAAACAAGCTCAATGATCTGATCATCACTGATCCTCGAACCAGATTGCCTTGACCTTCTGCTAGACATGTTGATGATGATGGTGGTGTTCTTTACACACTTTGTAGTGTGTTTTAATTTTTTCAAAGTATGAGCTTAAAGGGTTTATTTATCTATAATAATAATATATATGTGTAAACTAGCTGACGAAATGGAGCTCTAGAGGGAAGGAGTTTTATAAAATTTAAAGAAGAAGCAGAAGAAGAAGAAAAAGAAGGAGAAGACTAGGTTTAGTTTAGGAAGAACAAGAAGGTGGGAGAGAGAGGAGAAAAGGCTATCTAGAGAGTTGAGGTATAAGAGATATGAAAATTTGGAGAAAGTGATAAGAGAGTTATAAAGAGAGGAAGGACCACCAAAGAAAGTAAATAGAGAAGAGAGAGAGAGAGAGAGAGAGAGAGAGAGAGGGGAAAGAGTACAATACCAAAGACAGTGATGTTGGATGTGAAGAAGACAAGTGCATTGGAGAAAGCAGTGGAGTAGTGAGGGTTGGTTTTTTTAACAGAGAGAGAGAGAGAGAGAGAGAGACCATTCACTTCTTGAGCTTGTTCCCAAGTTGGGGATTGATCTCAAGTGGGCTTTAAGAAATGTGTTTGTTCTTAAGCTAACAAAGTGGGCCTTCATGTGCATCTCACATTACACATCTCCATGTGCATCTCACAATACCACATCTCCATGTGATCATAGGACACTCATCCTCTCCGATCAATCCTTCAATCTCTCTATTTCATCGTCAAATCAGGGATTGACACACAGTCCATGTACTTCCCCTTACTGTTAGCCTTTGCATACCAAAGTACACCTATCTTACATTTTCTTTGCTTTCCAAGTTGGTAATGTTACCTGAACGCATTTTGTCCGGCGAAATTTACGTCGGATTCAATAATCTATACACCGACTAATACTGGTTCGGACAATTTTTCAGCACAAGGTTTTACATAGAAAAACATCAATAAGGATATGAAATTTTCATATGTGTTACATCAAAATATCTCATTGTCTTATGAATAGTAGCAAATTTAATTGAAGCATTTATCTCATATCTTTTTTTTTTTTTTTTTTTTTCCTGTGATGGGGGGTATCCAAACTAGCTTGTACGTACCTCGAGAAATCTCTCAAGGCCCTGAAGTTAACAATTGGGTAAATTCTCCAATGGCCACCCCTATTAGCAATTGAGGGAAATCAAACTCAAAATATTTTGAGTAATACACCCAAAAGTCTCTATTGCTTCACTCGACCACCTAGGGGTAGTTCATCTATCTCATATCACAATCTAATATATATACATATATCATGAGATTCGTTCCTAATTTCCTCCCCATTCCAATATCAAATGCCCATATCTCATTAGGAACACAAAAGTAGTTACTTATCACATTTGTGACTTATCTAGTTTATTAGACTTGTAAGATGTTCAATAAATCCCGATTCTGAGAATTAATTGAAGTGCATGCTAAAAAAAAAAAAAAAAAAAAAAAAAAAAAAAAAAAAAAATAGAATCTTCAATGTGATAGGTCAATGAACAAGTTGGAAGGGTGTTAGTTTAGAGGAAGATGCAACCGATAACACCCACAACTATGATAACTTAATTCTTTAGAATAAATTTATATACTTGTAACACATTATTATAAATATATAATCTTATCTCAAACTATATTAAGTATTTTAATAAGTTAGAGCAAATTTTATTCACCAAGCAAATCCTAACACACACACTCTCTCTCAAATAATTGTTTTTCTTCCTTGTTTAGGGACATAACTACGTGAGTGTTGCCAATTTGATCATGTCACATGCTCCATATCCTCACACACACGACACGACACGTGTCGTGTCGTGTCTTAGTCTAAGTCTAGTACATTATATTATATTATAGAGATGGAAATTTCTAAAACGGGCATGGAGAAGATGAAATTTCTTAGCTTTTGTCAAGCAGTGTCACGTTGGACGACCCTTCTATTTGTGAGCTAGGACCCCTTCAATTCATTAAAGTTTTATTGTTGGAATTTATAATCTGAGCAACCGGAGAATTAATTTGGTTCTTGATTCAGGATTTTTCTGGTGGTTCTGGGTATCTTTGATGTTTCCAGATCTTGTATTATAAATCAACAAGTTTGACAGTTGTTTTCTCTAGCTCTTATGTACTCCATCTAATCAAATAAGTTGATATGTCTATAGCTAATTGTTGGAATTGGTGACCACTTCAACAATAAGGAGTTCGTTTATAAGGGGCAACGCACACGAGATCCCGCTATAGGATTCTCTAAGGAATAAGACTCCTAATAGGGTTTGACTTAAGAATACGAATCTTGGTAATTTTAGGGTTTTCTCCTAAGACCTAGTTTATAAACACGTTATTATCTTGTATAAGTGATATAAAAAATCATAACAAAATACATTCATTGTAACGAGAAAGGTGAAAAAATATTGAAATAATATTAACTCTGTTGATATAGCCTCTGTTTAGATGAATCAAGATAAATCGTGAGTGTTCTTTCTCTTTACGATTTAATTATTTGTGTATGATTAGTTTTAGTTTGATTCCAAACACTCTTTAGTTCTTTCAATTTTCTCAAGCTCTTATGTACTCCATCTAATCAAATAAGCTGATATATAAAATGATCTCACAGTGGGTAGCTTTCCGTAACAGTTTTTGTTTTTATGCTTTTCCTTGGGACACTAGTGAATATGGCAACATGATTTTGCAAGACTTTATATGTAAAATGAAAAGGATTGATTTGATTATTGCTTGGTCCCTTTTCACACCCTTATCTTCCTAGAATCAAGCTAATTTCTTCCTAAAAGATTTAATTCACGCATATACAATGTTGTATGTTATTTAATGTCTTATATGTATTTAATATATATTTATGTTGCATCTCATATCACTAGCGAATAAAATCTATGTTAATTTATAAGTTTTCGGTCATATTAGATGAATATGCATTTGCTCTCAAAGGAAATCGAAAAATATCTTAAGAATTCTGACAGGTCCATTCCTATGTCTTTTATTGTTTGCTAGATGCTCAAATTTCATCTAGGTTTGAATCCTACTAAGAGATCTACTAGGGATTAGTTAAGTTTGAATTATATCGAGAGATAAAATAGAGATCAAAACGCTAATGTCAAGTGAACAAGGGTGAAAATGATTGATTTGATTATTGCTTGGTCCCTTTTGTCACACTCATCTTCCATGAATCAAGGTAATTTAGTTTTAATTTACGCGTTATATGAATTCAATACATATTTATAAGTTTTTGGTTTTCAGATGAACAGGCATTTGATTTTGAAAGAAATCGAAGACTTTCTTGGAAATCCTACGAGATTTACTCTTACGTCTTTTTTGTTCGACAAATGGTCAAAATTTCGTCTAAATTTGAATCCTATTGAGAAGTTTACTAGAGATCAATTAGATTTATACTCTACCGTAAGATTTGAATGCTATTAAAGGTGAAAAACGCTTGTTATGCATTTGAATTAATCAGGTTCCCTTTCACATTAACTTTCTTATGATTGAATCATCTATTTTGGGATTATCTCAAAGATTTTGTGTCGAATGATGTTTTGACATCCCATTATAAAACAAGGGCAAAGCTAAAGCTAATCCATCTACACTGAAAATCAACATGGCTAGCTCTTCTCATTGATTGCATTAATGTCCTCCCATGTTAATACATGTGGGGTTTTGTTTAAATCAAGCTCTAGGAACCACATTTTATCAACATGACAAAACATTGATTGAAAGGACATTCAAATTCAATAGGGATTTTGAGAGAAAAACTTTCACTCCGTATAAGACCAAAATGTCCTCAAGAAACCCTACTATCCAGCCAATTGAAATTAATTATCTAAACAATAATAATCTCCCTTTTCTTCAAACCATATTATAATAATAAGTAATCCTGTTTGCGATTTGATATATGGTTTCCAATTTTTATATACACAAAGATACAATATTGGAACTTGGAGAGGTTATGGGTCTCCGACAAGTTTAGTTTTGCTGGATTATGTTTGCTAATACAAAGTTAAGCATGCATTAGAGTATCCGACATATTAATAAATGATGTTTAAGCATGCTCTTTCACTTGTAAATTCAACTTTATTATCAATAAATTACATGTAATTATTTGTAATTGCTTCTCTTCACCGGCTTTATCAAATAGATCAACAAAGAGAATTAAGAAGACTATGCATGGTGAACCATCCTTGGGTGGTTGGATGGTGCATAAAGACTCTTGGATGTATTACTGCGATAAAGACTCTTGAGTGTATTACTTAAGAGGTCCTGAGTTCGATTTTCTCGACCTCTAATAAGGGTGGTTACTAGAGATTTACCCAGTTGTTAACTTTAAGGCCCTAGTGGACTAGATAAGGTGCACGCAATTTAGTCCGAATACCTTTGGTTATCAAAAAAAAAAAAAAAAAAGACTATGCACAGTGAAGTACTTTAATTAAGTTGATTAATTTAATTAATTACTTGTTAAAGCAAGGTTAGTTAGAAACTTTATTTACTATGTTGGTAGGTGTGGTATCAATGCCCATCTATGATGAGAGATTATGTTGAACGTGTAATTAAATACTTATATTTCTTAATTAATTATCATATTGTACAATTTTGTACTCACATTTATCATTACTCAAACAAGATTATATTTACAAACTCTTTATATAAAGTTTTGCATTAAAACTTTTATGTTATATATACAAAAAAATACATATATAAAATATACAAATTCTCATATATAAATTAATGGGTGTTGTTTAAATATATTGAAAATATATCTTTTTGGGAGTTTTCGTGAAGGGAGAGGGCAATTTAACAGTCAAACACACGAGCTAAGATTAAATATTGATTATGAAGGTTCAAGTCAAACTTGGAAATTAAATCCAGGAGAAAAGGTTAAGGTCAACTCAAGCTACATGAAATCATTAATGTAGAAGATGGATTGATGTCAATTAATTTCCTATAACTAAGGCTAATTAATTGTTTTCTATCCACATAATTTGGTCATCTTCTTCTTTTTGTAATCTCACTCTTTCATTATTATTTATTTCCCGTCATTAAAGGGTTTCTAAACATTTTGGATTTTGGATTTAGATTCACTCTTTGACCTTTTTTTGTCATGTTATGATGATAATTAATAAACTATTTTCCCACCTCGGATTTCGGTAATAGTATGACTAGAAAAGATACATGTTAATTATGGGTAAGAAGCAAGAAGCATTACGTAAAGACTTGCATATTTCTTATACCGCCATCAATCAACTGAGCAAAACGACCACAAAAAGAAGTAAAGTTAGAAAACCGTATGTT